ATGACTAGTGCTTGCCGTAGCAGTTGCAGCTTGCTTCAGAAACCCTCCACCTTCCCCAGCTCCACCTGTATAGATCTGCTACGAGGTGATTCATGTACGCTATAGGTTATTTCATTTATGTCATATTTGCAGCAGCAATATTTCTTACATGCTCACAGCAGCATGTTGTGGATGTATTGGCAGTAGCAATTCTCGGTACTTGCTCTGCCGCAGCAACAGCAGCAGCGTAGCAGATCTATTCCGCCAAGACCAAATACATTAACATTGTCATGTACATTACCATGCCAATCCCTCCAAGAGTTGTCATGACAGAAATGCTGTTATTTTGACATTTCTAGTCATCAGAAAATCCTAAAAAATGCATCACGGTTTCCACAACTTGTTTTCAACATTAATAATAATAAGAAATGTTTCTTGAGTAATGGCTGCTGAAAATTCAGCTTAGGAACAAATTACATTTTGATCAAATAAATGTAGCCTTAACATAAGAGACTTCTTTCAAAAACTGCTTTCTCAGAGCCATTTATTCCTACAGTTTTTTTTTTTTATTAGAAAAAGAAATTTTGCATTAAGACCACTGGCTAATTGTTGAGCTAAACTGTCTGTTTTCCCACTCCTTCTCTTGTCTGTTACTGTATGCAGATCTCACCAAAGCCCTTCACACTATTACCTAACGGCGACAGGCTGCATAAAGTGGGACGGGACCGCAAAGAATCCATAACGTCACCTACACGTACCTCTACTACAAACACTCCTAAATCATCAGCAGCCAAACTTGCTACTACGTACAAGACAAACCGACAACCCCCGGTAAACCTACACGCATAAACATGTGCCTCAGACATCATTAAACATTGCTCAACAGGCACCTGTTTCTCTGATTGTATGCATGTGAACTTTAACCACACTTTTACATGACATAATAAATTCTTCCGTGTTTTATAAACAGAAGAAACAGAAGCTGCACCCTAATGCTGATAATACAGTCCAGCATCTTGAGAGAAATACCTAATATTACCTACTGATACAGAGTTCAAAAATATCAATACAAACTTTACATTAGCCAAAGTTTTTTTCCACAAAATAAACATTTATATATCAGCATTAATGCACTTATCAAAATAACAAAAGCAGTCAAATGTCAAAAGTTACAGTTTCAGTGACTATAATAAGTGTTCAAAATGTATAATTTAACTAACAATCTTCAAAGGAGTGGGGAAAATATGTTCAAAAACTAAATTTAATGTTGTAGAACTTTACATAAAGATATAGTTTATAAATAAATAACCCTTTTTCTTTACCTTACAAATGGTTGTTGAAAGCATGCTACAAAATAATATAAATTGCATCATATTTTGTGTGGAAATTCAATTTTCAATTCAATTCAAATCAAATGTATTTGTATAGCACTTTTCACAATACACATTGTTTCAAAAGCAGCTTTACAGAAAATGCATGTGTCTACATTACAAAGCAGAAGTGAATGTGTCCAAGTAATGTTCATTTCACAAACGAACAGTTCAAGATAATAGAATCATACAGCTAGCTAACATGAATTAATTTTAGGCAGAAGCTCATTAAAGCAATTATTACAAGTGTGATCATAATGATTACAATATATAGAAATTTTGGCACTATATTTGGAATCAGCACCCTAAAATTAGTAAGAAACAAGTATTAGATTTAATTCAACAAATATTATGCAGGGTGATGTAATTAGTTCATACATAAACCATTTTTGATACATTGGATACATAAACCAATTCTCTAGCCTGTTTTGTCCCAGTTCTCATGAATAAATTAGCAGTGAATATAAGAAGAAAGAGAAACAGACATGAAAAACATAGTCTGAGTAGAAATGTCAGCTTTGATGCTTGAAGAGGAAGAGGGAGGGAGGAAGTGGTGAGAAGATGGATGGATGGTGGCAGGAAACGCTCCCTTTTGGAGCACAAGAGATTGAGGAATATCATGAAGTGTCTGTGCATCATACTGGACGCTGCTGACTAATCAGCTATGTTCAGCTATGTGTCAGTATGATCCACACATTTATTTTGGAAAAGCTAAAATCAGTAGGTCGAGGCAGCGTAGATGAAGCTCATGGAGAAATGCTGTTTTAATAATGAGAGCGAGCAGAAAGGGGAGGTAAGAACCCTCCTTTCTTCAATAGAAATCACTCATTTTAACATCAAACAGCATGTGGGAAATGTGGAAGTTGTTCCGTCTGATGTCCAGTTCCTTTAGGCTGTGCTGACTGGTTAGCGCAGGTGTTATTTCATGTGTTCAAAGTGAAACATCTGAAGACACTACCAAAAGTTTGTTAATTAATAATATAGTATTATATAGTATTAAAGGTGCAGTAGGAGATCTTGGAAAATGCTAACTTTAGCCTGATAGCACTGAAAGCGAACGTCCCACCCTCCCTGCAATCGCCATCCAAAGCCACACCCCCTGAACGCATATACGCTCACAGACCAGAATACCAGAAACAACATTACTACAATAGGCTACATCAGCGGTTCCCAATTCCAGTCCATGTTCCGAACTGAAGTAAACTTTAACGGATTTCCCTGTTCAGGGAGTAGGGAGCAATGAACACTGTGTAGGGATCATATCGATCGGAACACAGTTCATGCACGTAGCTCACTTCTAACAAGCTGGTTATCTGAATCGGGTGTGTTAACTAAGTGAGACACGCAAAATATGCAGAGCGGGGGGGGGCGCAGGGACTGGAATTGGGAACCGCTGGGCTACATCATGTGTCATTCACCGGTGAGAAAACATTAAAAGTACTACAATACCAGGAAGGAAAATCGGGTTGTTGATTCTCTGGCATTCTCGCTCTGTCTGCACAGCGTGCGTGAACGCGCTGATGACGTATCCTGTCTGCGCGAACCGGGTGCGCAGAGGTATGCTAATACATACGTTGACAGGCAGGTAGGAAAGCCAATTAAAACGCTCGGACCGAGCGTTTTGATTGGACGGACATTTCTTTGTCCTACGCCTTCCACAGAATATATAAATACAGATAAAGACATTTAGACCACTTAACTTAATGATTGCTATCGGGATGTGAAGAGACTTTCAACCAGCATAACAAAAAAAAATTCTGAAGACAATCACCTATTGCACCTTTAAAGTAATAACTAATGTTTTGGATTAGCTTTTGTTTTTATATTTTCAGATTTCATTTGAAATTTATTTTAACTTCTAGTAATTGTGTTTTGTGCTCATGTCATTTTTGATAGTTTTTAAAATTATTTCTATTTAGCTTTAATATATTTTTATTTTAGTTTTTAGTAAGTTTAGTACTTAAGCTTATTTTATTTTTAGTTGCCAAGGCAACATTTCTCAGGTTTAAAAGTTTTTCATCTAATATTTATATATTATTTTATTTCAGTTTTAATTCAATTAACAAAAACATTTTTATAGTTTTAACATGCTGGTTTGGACATATCTACAGTATAACAGCAATACTCTTTACTTGTCTTATGCACACTTTCAAAGCTTTCCCTTATTTTCATACCATCAAATGTCTATTTAAACTAATATAAAACTAAACGCAGTTACAAAATAATGTTCTATATTTCTTAAACCTAAGAACCTACTTGCTAAGTCTGTGTTTTACCCACAGTATTGGTTGTTCTAAGTTTAAAATAATGACATTTTATAATAATATTAGTGTTGATGATGCTAAAAGATATGTAATACTACATGATTTAGAAAGTAAGACATAGTGTTGATGAAGTTTTGCTGAGGGGCTGTGGGGTACATAAGACTTATTGATTTGTAATTCTCATCCTTTGCTGTCATTTGATGTTTGTTTAGTATGCTTTCCTTCTAACTTATAATTGTCAGCACTTGTTTGTCATATGCGTCACTTAAATTACAAAAGTCCAGGTCTGACAGGTTGTTATTGTGCCTAAAATGAGACTTTATAATATAATCATGAAGAACCAAAGACTTAAACTACTTCAGTCTGTGTGCATTGAATTTATTTAATACACGAGTTTCACAATTTGAGTTGAATTACTGAAATAAATGAACTTTTCCACGACATTCTAATTTATTGAGATGCACCTGTATAATCATTTCTTGAACCCATTTCAATTCACCAAGAGCATCTCAAGACAGTAAAGATTCATAAACCCACATTCAAGTCTTTTTTTCTATCTACGATGAATTAAAGTCATGACTTTTTCATTTCTAAGCTCAAGTACATGTTTGTATTGTTTAGTGTATTGCATTCTGGTACCTAGCAACCTCATAAAATCACTCTTCCATTACACTATTTGAAACTCATGTGGAGGTCAAAGCAGTGCATGACGCATGCTTTGAGCGGTGCATAAAAAGGCCTTTACTGTCCACACACATGGTGAGCATTATGTTTTTATCGGGGGAAAGCACCACCACGCTGTTTCCGCTCATCATGGGCAAATGCCACAACAGTTGCTGTCTCACTGCTCTCACTGTGGGCAGACCTCTGTGGTCTCCATAACTATGAATCATAATTAGCATGTCACGTTTGCTCTGGTCAGACATACACATGTAGATGCATGTCGCTGTTCATTATGACACATCTAGTCTCATGGTTGTAGTTTTGTAAATTGTTTGCATTTGTTTCGTATTTGAAACATTTATTTGTGGGGCTTCCATTGTAATTGCATTTTGTAAAGAATACTGAAATAAAAATGAATCTCTTTTTTCACAAAACTATTAAGAAGAACAACTGTTTTCAACATTATAATGACATGAAATGTTTATTTAGCAGCAAATCAGCATATTAGAATGATTTCTGAAGGATCATGTGACACTGAAGACTGGAGTAATGATGCTGAGAATTCAGCTTTGCATCACAGGAATAAATTACATTTTAAGACATTAAAATAGAAAATAGTTATTTTAAATTGTAAAAATATTTCCCAATATTACTGCTGTTACTGATAAAAATATATACAGCCTTGATGAGCATAAGAGACTTCTTTCAAAAACATAAAAATATCGAAAAAAATCCCCCAAACATTTGAACAGTAGTGTACAAACTAAAGTCGTAATCAACCTGGAATATTGCTTTAAGTGAACTATAATGAAATATTGTTTGTTGTGTTTTTCATGTAGCTTGTAAACAGGATCCAGGAGATATTTGAAGCCAAAAGAGGAAGGAAACGAGTATGGGCGACAACAACCAGAGGTGAGAGGATGCATATTTCATATTTACCTGGTTTACCGAGAGAAAAAGTCTAATCATGCAGTAAACGTGTGTTTTATGGCAGATGAATTGAGTGGAACAGAGAGTGATCCTGAGGAGAGCTCTAAAGGTCAGTGCCTCCCTAAGGCCTCTGCACAGAGAACTCTTGTTTATTCAAGTTGAACTTGTATATCAAACCAGTTTAGCAGTTTTTATACACCCATCAATGCTGTTTACATTTTTTTTCTCATAGATCGCTCCCAGCGCACAGTGTACATTCAATCAACTTTAAAGCGACGGCCGGGTTACCGCACTTTAGAGAGGGACCTGATCCAACTACAAGAGCAGCAGCTTTTCCAGCAATTTGTAGTGGTGTCGCTTAGAAAAGCTTCCCCTGGAAACACATACATCCCTGAGATCACACAACAGTTCCCTACGAAGGTAAAGAGACCTAATAAATTGTAATGACAAAATCCGGAAATAATATAGGGCGGAGCTTAATTTGAGATTTGAATTGTGGAATGTGTGTTCCACCATTTTCTTTTTTTCCACAAATTTTATTTATTTTTTTATATATGTCTTTCATATATTATAATTGAAATTATTTTATATAAATATAATACAATTATTTACATTTTAATTTACAATACATTAATTATTCATGTAACACTGAAGAACTGGAGTAATAATGCTGAAAATTTAGCTTTGCCATCACGGGGATAAATTACATTTTAAAATATATTAAAATAGAAAACAGTTGACATTGCATTTAACTTCTGTAATATGATGTATTGTGAGAAATAAAGTGGAAAGGGTGTTTCACAATTTTCTTCCTTTCTTTTTTTTTAAAATCATTTTTAAAAAATATTTATTTTTATATTTATATATTGTAATTCAGATTATTTTATATAAATACAATAAAATATAATAAAATTATTTACATTTTAATTTTAAATGAATTATAATTATTTTTAATGATAATATACAATTATATATAATATGTATTTATATGTTGTAAGTAAGAGTTATTTTATATAAATGTAATATAATAGCATTATTTACATTTTACTTTTTAATTTTAAATGAATTTTAATTATATAAATAATAAGACAATATAGAAAAATGTCATCATTATATATTTGATTATATAAAATATTATTTTTCTGTCTTTATTTTGCATTTAGTTTGAGAGGTCTTCTCGTCTGTCTCGTGAGGCTGAAGACAGATTAAGGGCGATTCCCAAGTTTTGTTTTCCTGACTGTTATGACTGGCGTCCCTCCTCGGACCACACCAGGTAACATGCAAATAATAAACAATTTATGTTACTTGACTAAATAATTCACACTCCTAATATAATCTTTGATTATCGCCCGCAGTGAAACGTTTTCTTTTGTCCTAACGGGGGAGGATGGGAGTCGCTTATTTGGATACTGCCGCAAAATCCTGGTGAGATTGTAAATATGGTGGTCACATTAATTCAACAGAAAAACATAATCTCACCTGGTCAATTAAAATAATACTTGGCCCAAAAGTCAACTTTTATTCATCATGTCATTCCAAACCTCACATCGATCATTATGCAGGTTTGAAAAATATTTCAGTTAATAAATAATATGTGACTATATTGTGTATTGTCAGTGGTAAATCTGCACTAACTTTGACCTTTGACCTGTATCTTGCAGCCCAGTGGGAAGGGGAAGAGACTGCCTGAAGTTCACTGCATCATCAGCAGACTGGGCTGCTTCAATCTCTTCTCAAAGGTCGGTGACATTTCCTGTTTAATCAGCACTAAAGCAGTTCGACAGATGCTGAATTGTAACTGTCTGCAATGTTTGGGGGTAGATCTTGGAGGAGGTGGAGAGGAGGAGAGAGATTTCCCCTGCCTTGGTTCATCCTTTCATGCACAGTGTCATGGAAGCTCCCTTCCCTGCTCCTGGACGCACCATCACCGTCAAGAGCTTCCTGCCGGGCTCTGGCAATGAGGTAAGAAGATATCGTTTAAAGGGAAAATAACGTTTAGTCCTACATGTGATTTATTCTGACAAAAATGAAGATTTTTACGAAGTTTTGAATTTAGTTTCCCCCATGATTATAAGTATTAATTTAAATCTTGACATTATTTGTTGTTTTATATTTTAATTTTTTCAAAATGTATTTTATTTTTATTTGATTATTTATAGCTATTTTATTTCACAAATTAATGGTTGTACCACCAGTGAAAAATTATCGGAAATTACTGTGTGTTTTTTTTTTAAGATTGTGGCAATATCATCTTGAAACACATGCCACTGACAAGATGAAAATCCATAAATTATAACAACAAAGAATTTTTTCAAAGAAAATCTTTCACTTGAACATTAAACAATTTAAAGGGTTAGTTCACCCAAAAATGAAAATTCTGTCATTAATTACTGTGTCAGCTGCGTCACACGGATACACTGTTTTCGTTCAGATCAAATCACAACATCGTAGGAAACAGATCCGGCGTGACGCAGCTGACACAGAACAGCATATGTTGTTTACGTCCAGCTGATACTCTGCAAAATAGCTATACAGGGTGATGCAGAGGAGACGAATTGTTGAATAAAGTAGTTTTTTCTTTTTCTTTTGTGCACTAAAAGTATTCTGGTAGCTTCGTATAATTGCGGTTCAACCGCTGATGTCACATGGATTATTTTACAGACCTCCTTGCTACGTGTCTGGACTTGGGAACATAAACGACTTTATTCAACAATTCGTCTCCTCCGCATCACCCTGTAGAGCTATTTTGGAGAGTATCCACTGGACGCAAACAGTCCGAAGATGAACGAAGGTCTTACGGGTTTGAAACGACATGAGGGTGAGTAATTATTGACAGAATTTTCATTTTTCCATGAACTATCCCTTTAACAAATAACTTTAACCGTATATGAAAAAAATGTCTTAAATGTAAATAAAAATTTTCCAATATGGTAGGAATATCATATGCATATTTGAACTGCCTTTTTACTATGAACTTTGACTTTGGAAGTACTTTTCTACAAATGTCTTTATTTTTTATGTTTTTAACATGATAACACCTATGACAAAAAATCAAGGGCCAAGCATTCTTCTTGAATAATTTATATTATTAATTACTTTTTTTCATAATTGTTGCATCTTGTACTAATGCTTAGCCCTGCAAAATAAGATAATTAAAAAATAATAATTTTAATAAAATTTAATTATTAATAATTACATTATTTAATTACATAATTATTTATTATCATTAATTACATTTTATTATTTTTAATACATTTTTTAAAAGAAAATTATTTAAAATGTTACTTTAAAAATAAAACTGTAAAAAAAAAAAAAGTAAAAAAAACTGTACAAAACATTATAGAGTCAAACCATTTCATATTCTTTTTTATATTGTTGTTATACAATTTTGCCTTTTTACATGGAGTTTCTTAACTGCTTGAAACCTTTTTAATTACTCAAGTCAAAGAACAGGTTTGTCACTATCTTCTGAGGATCATCCGTGTGTCTCTGTTGTATGTGTAGGTTCTGACGCTGTGCAGGCCGGTGGACTCTCGTTTGGAGCATGTGGACTTTGAGAGTTTGCTGCAGTGTCTCAGTGTGACCAGACTCCTGCAGGTCTTCGCTTCTCTGCTACTGGAGAGGAGGGTGATCTTCATCGCAGACAAACTCAGGTACAGACCACCACCCATGCTGATAACCAAATATAGCAATCTGAATGCCAACTAGAATTAAATTCAAACCTACCTCTGTTTGTCTCTGGCCAGTGTCTTATCCCGATGTGCCCATTCTGCCTTGGCTCTGCTGTATCCCTTCACATGGCAGCACACATTCGTACCGGTGCTCCCTGCCAGCATGCTGGACATATGCTGCTCTCCCACTCCTTTTGTGATGGGGGCGCTGTCTCCATCCCTGCCTGAGGTGCTGGATATGCCCATCGAGGAGGTCAGTCACTTTGAAGGAGCCTATTTAAGTCCACTTACTGTATATTTCTAATCAAGGATTTTTTACACCAATATTGATAGTATTTAAGTTTTTAGTAATAATTTCAACAGTTTCATCTTTCTGACCCATAGATGCAAGGTAGTGCATTATTAATTTCTAACAGGAATGAAAATGAAGCTGTGAGGGAGTATTGATGTATGATTTATTGGTGGTTATGTGTGAATGTGTTAAAATTTTCTCAGATTAGTTTCAATAATTTGACTGGGTTAAAGGTGGGGTAAGCGATTTCTGGTAGCCCATCTCTATCTTTCTGTCGCTCGGCTTAGCTAATGTCCGTCCCGTGCATTGAACGCTCTCTCCTCCCCATCATGAGTAGACACGCCCCTTACTGCTGATTGGCTACAAGTTTGTTTTGCTATTCGGCCCGAATCAGTTTTCTAAAGCATTTTTGAAAAATCGCTTACCCCACCTTTAAACTTTAAACTTTCAAACTTGCTTCGACTCATCTGGCCTATAGAAAGGGAATTTTCTTGGACGCTGTCATGGATCCCATATAAGATGCTTCTAAACAACAGAGAAGAGCTCTGAGGTTTGATTATGACTACGGCCGGAGTTTAATTTAAAGGGGTCATATGATGCTGCTAAAAAGAACATTATTTGGTGTATTTGGTGTAATGAAATGTGTTTATGCGGTTTAAGGTTCAAAAAACACATTATTTTCCACATACTGTACATTATTGTTTCTCCTCTATGCCCCGCCTTTCTGAAACGCGTCGATTTTTACAAAGCTCATCGGTCTGAAAAAGCGAGGTGTGCTGTGATTGGCCAGCTATCCAGTGCATTGTGATTGGCCGAATACCTCAAGCATGTGACGGAAATGTTACGCCCCTTACCACATTGT